TGGGCTATAGCCCACTTCCTCGGATGCATGCAGTGGAAAATACAGTAGCCTAATTTGTTGTAATATTGCGACCTTTAAACCGGACAGTCTCTACGTAAAAGAATAAATGGACACAAATCAGACGTCGAGAATTATAACATTCAAAAACCAGTTGGAGAACACTTCGATCTCCCTGGCCACTCGATTACAGACCTAAAAGTCGCAATATTACAACAAATTAGGCTACTGTATTTTCCACTGCATGCATCCGAGGAAGTGGGCTATAGCCCATGAAAGCTTATGCCCAAATAAATTTTTTAGTCTCTAAAGGTGCCACAAGTGCTCCTGTTCTTTTTGCGAATACAGACTAACACGGCTGCTACTCTAAAACCTTTTTTTTTTTTTTTTTTAAATCGATTGGCTGAACAAGAAGTAGGACTTGAGTGGATTTGTAGGCTCTGAAGTTTTACACTGTTTTGTTTTTGAGTGCAGTTATGTAACAAAAAAAAATCTGCATTTGTAAGTTACACTTTCACGATAAAGAGATTGCACTTCAATACTTGTATGATATGAATTGAAAAATACTATTTCTTTTATCATTTTTACAGTGCAAATATTTGTAATCAAAATAATATAAAGTGAGCGCTGTACACTTTGTATGCTGTGTGGTAACAGAAATTAATACATTTGAAAAGGTAGAAAAATATTCAAAAATATTTAATACATTTCAATTGGTATTCTATTGTTTAAAGGTGCAATTAATTGTGATTCATTTTTTAAAATCGCAATTAATTTTTTGAGTTAATCGCACAAGTTAACTGCGATTAATCAACAGCCCTAAAATTTACACTAACATCTGTCCCCGCCAAGAGAGAACATTAACATTTTCCAGCATATCCTAACCTTACCTCTTCTGTGCTTCCTGTTTACTGCGACACTGCTCACAGTAGTATTTATATTCACTGCATAAAGTCTCAGTATTACTGAACCCCCTGTGGAAGTTGAGATCAAAAAAATGAATTACAAACATGTGGGAACCTTAGTCACCCCCCCACCCACCACTACTTATTTTACTATCCTGCTGCTATCACAGAAAAGAAATATACCACAGATGAAGATTTCTCTCAAACAAGAATACCTCCCAACCGCTGGTTTTAACTTGTCCCAGTCCCATGTTATGGGATCTAAGATTCTAGCTGAGGAAATTTGTATATGGCTCCCTTCAGAACATGAACTGGCCAGTATCTAATCATCCGTCAAACCGAGGGGTAGAGCACACAGCAATATAGGCTGTCATGGTTTTGGTTGTCCAATTATCTAGTTCACACCTATTGTGTGATATCTGGGGACATGTACAAAAATTAAAACTCATTAACACTGGTCATAATTTGCCCACAAAAGCACATAATCACCCCCCCCCAACTCACTCATCATTAGTGCCGTTATCAGCTATTAAAAAGCCAGGTCCAATGAATGCATCTTGCATAGCGCTGGGTTGATAAGCTTGGGCTTTGACAGGCTATCAGAGAGCGAATTCTAAAGCAGAGAGCTGTTCAACAAGAATGCCCTGTTGCCTGCCCTCAGAAGCTCAAGCACTCTTTAACAAAGAGCAGGAGCATTTCAGCAAAATGCAGCAGCAGGGTGACAAAGTAAAAATATTTTGAAAACAAACATGAATACTTAGTTTTGAAAAACTCTGAAACACATGATGTAGTATCAACAGCCTTAAAAGACGCAATTAAATGGATAATTCTTACAGTTTTGGCAGACTTTCTGTATAACAGGATCTTGAGCAGAATTTATTAGTTTACGGTAAGCTTGGGTCCTAAAGTGCTGCACAACTGAATACCTAAAGTAGCCACTCCATTCAGAATGTGTGCAGATGTGTTTCTTCCAACCAGATTCCTTTTCATTTACCTTAGGCAGTGCGTAATTGATGTATTTTGTTCCACATCAACCGATAGGTCCAGGAAGTCCTCATCTTTGCTACTAACCTTAAAAAAAAGAAATACTTCATTGCGGCTTGGAATCTGGCAGGTTTAGAATTGCTTCAAGTCCCTGAAATGGTACAGATGTTGTGATTGCAAGTAAGAAGCTTTAGAATTTGACGAATGTATAAATGCAGTAAGTGGCCCTTTCCTGCACTACTCGAGAAATACTGAAACAATCTGACGTGTAGTTATAGTCCAAAAAGAGACTGTAAAAAAGGAACCTCCTTGTACAATGTCTTCCCCATGTGCCTGCAAGTCATATCTGCCTATTTTACTGACAAAACCAAGTTTTTACCACTGTCAGCACTCAGAAGGCTAGACAGGCTTTAAATGGATTCTATTCTGCTTCGTACAGCAATACAATTATCTGCCATATTTCAGACTCTTTAGTACTGGGAAAGATATAAGAGACAGAAAGAGCAGGATTTTCAGATGCTGGGGTGAGTGATAAGGCCTGGCCTTTAGGAAAACATTTGACCTGTGAGCCAATCACATTTAGTCTCAAAATCCCTGAGAAAGAAGCCCATTTGGTGCATTTTTAGAAAGTTCCTTTTTAGAGCATAAAAATAATTTAGATTTAAACTGCTGACTAGTATTTGGAGCTATTGAAAAAAAATGTTGCTATCCAATATTATACTAATTTTTCTTTTCCTCCCAACAAGGCTTTCATTTGTTTGAAATACTGTTAAACCAATGACTACATGGCTAAGTACAAATTCCCAGCTCAAAAGTGGTTCTTTCAGTTTCAGTCTTTCTGATCCCTCCTTCATTCTCAACACAGTGATTATGGGTTAACAACAAGAAATGTAATCTTTTGACTTATAATATAATTATAATAATATATGGAGATATACCTATCTCATAGAACTGGAAGGGACCTTGAAAGGTCATCAAGTCCAGCCCCCCGCCTTCACTAGCAGGACCAAGTACTGATTTTGCCCCAGATCCCTAAGTGGCCCCCTCAAGGATTGAATTTACAACCCTGGGTTTAGCAAGCCAATGCTCAAACCACTGAGCTATCCCTCCCCCCTTGAAAACACTTGGTTAAAACACAAATTCAGGAGTACCTTTCCCAGACTTGAAGAAGCAGCCTGTGTAGCTCAAAAGCTTGTCTCTTTCACCAACTGAAGTTGGTCCAATAAAAGATATTACCTCACGTGCCTTGTCTCTTTAACATCCTGACACAAACATGGCTACAACACCACTGCAAATTTAGCATTGTAAGTAAATGGTGAGTAACTCTTGTGGAAACACAACATACACTATGACTGTCACAAGAAATTACAACAGGACAAAAAGGTGGCTCCTATCCATCAGGTGCAAACTGCTTTGGTGGAAATGGGAAGGGGGAAGGAAAGGACACTGCGCTTTTACTAAGAAACATACCTTAATGAGTACTAGTTTGAATGGACAGCTGATACAGCCATAAAATAGGTTAGATTCAATTTTTAATCAGAAAATGTTCAATTTCATCTACCCTAATAAATGAAAAATTTTGTTTAGAATTAGGGAAAATGGTCCAGTGCCTTTGAAAATCAAATAAAGAGATGTTTTGTTTTTCAACATACAGCTTCACAGTTAAGACATCTGGTTTCGTTGGTTAGTGTTCCCTGGAAGATTTCATGGACCCATGTCAGATCAGTCTTGTCTCCTTCCTCACTCTCAATGCTGCCATTCTGGAGTTTGCCATTCTGTTTCTCCTGTTTTTTCTCTTCTTGTAGTAAGTCAGCAATAGTGTTTAGTAGGTAGTTTAGGAATTCATGTGCATCTTGCTGCATATAATTATCAAATAATTCTGGAAATGAAACAGAAAAGATTGTGAAGAATGAAAGAGCATAACAACAACAATACTATCATTAAAGCAAAACTTTATAAGGCCACTCTGCTCTAGTGAAGCACTGCACGTTCTTTTCTCTCTTCTATAATTTTTAAAATCTTTTAGCCACTGCTATTAGTTAACAGTATTTAACTCTCTAAATTATGTCAGTATACACTATGTCAAAGATGCTATATGAAACAGAGCTGTAATTATGTAGTTCTAGCAACAGTTGTTATGGACTTCAGGTTACGCACTCTCCTACTTCTTGGCTCCCAGGAGGAAGGCAGCCTTCTAAAAATTAATTATGCTCCTTAAGTTAAGGGAGGCTGGCCTGACAAACATATAAAATTGGCTTCCATTGATTCTTTTGGGGAATGAGGGTAAGATGAGTAAGTTCAGATGTGCTGCAAGAGACCACTGGTACATGAAGTCCAATATCTTACCTCAAGAGGAAAATGAAAAAAATCCTATAACAGTAAATCAATTATAATTTACAGTCTCTGGGCTTGAAAAGATAACATGCATAAAGGTTCTTCACAACTAGTCCTGGGAAATAACCACTGGATTCCCAATACAAAGAAAAACTGATTACCCGTTACTTTTTTCTTGCCGAGTACAGGAGAGAAAGAGAGGGTGAGAGTGACTTTAAGCCACGTCTGAGCTTCCCTAATCTGGCCCTCACTATGTGTGTACCCAGTCCATGGTACAATTTAAAGCATTGCCAGTGATGCTCTAAGTTGTAATGGCTTGTTACAGACCTCTATATTGGCATTATATTAGCACAGAATAGCCAGGGCATCCAAAGCTCTGGGCTCCCTACCCTCTGTGTGATTGGCCGACATCAGGATGGAATCACTAAACCAGATGGAAAACCAACCTTAAATAAAGATACTTTACAGGGACCATCTACACACTCTTTATACTACACAAGCGGTGAAAATTTGTACCACATAAATTGGGGCATGAACCTTTTAAAAACCCAGTTAGTAAAAACTTGCCAAATGTCAGTCACTAGATATACTTGAAAAGAGTTCGGGTTACTTAAAAATGCACAGCCTAATATCCTAATATTGAAATTTGATCAGGTACTTCAGTTATTCATTTACCATTTTCTTTCCTCAACCGGGAAATAAATTTCTTGGGTGGGATGACTCCCACCTTCTTCTTTTGTGTGGCAATGCTGTTGAAGAGATCGGAGAGGCACGTAAGGAGGCTTTCCTTCTTCCGGGGCTGGACCTTGTATGCCAAAACTTTTTCCCGAAACGGACGACAAAAATAAAGTGCCTGTAGGACTGAGTTGCAGTAGCAGGTATTGCCAAACTGGTTAAAACAGAACAAGACACATATTTCCATTATTACATCTGTTAAAAAGAAACCAACAAAGAGAGACTGAGGAAGCTAAGGCCAAACAACAGAGAAGTACAAAAACGAATATGTAGAGAAATATTTTTATGAAATTAAAAAACTTTTCTAATTGAGACATTCCATCTGAAATGCTGGAAACCTAAATCACAACAGCACGAGAATCAAAATGTGAATGACAGATCATAACAATTTCTTTGAACAGAGCAAACTGTAACACAAAGTGTGAAAAATGAGATTTTTTTAAATTTTGTCTAAAGTTATATAATTAAGGAAGGTTTTCTGCATAAGATTTTTAGCATGATAGACCCATCCAAATTTTGGTGTTCTGAGTAATCACTTATTGCGAAGGTATTGAGAACTGACATTTGTAATTCTGGCAAAGCAACAGACTAATGACCTTTCTAATTAAATATCCATATGTTAACTAGAGAGGAAGCCTATTTTTATGGAAGATGTTACCATGGGCCTTTTAAAAAACTTAACTGTTATGAGATGGTATCCTCAATAGTTATAGTGAGGAATGTTCGTAGTACTAGGAACATCTTACTAACAGAAAAAAGTAAAAGAAAACACTGGAAGGACACTTACTGAATTTGCGTTCTTTACAACCACTGAAGAGTTTTAAATAAAAAATATACAAAGGTTCATCAGTCAAGATATTTTTAAAAGTGATTTTTGGGACAGAACATGATAAACCTTGAAGGTGCTTCATTTTCAGAGGCCCCTCCAAAGTGGCTCAATTTGGACATGCAAAAGCTAAGGCAACAGAGTCACTAGTCATTGTTTAAAATCTTGGTCATAATTCCCATCGGATGGGAGAAACTGAAAGTAAACATTAGATCGAACTGCTTTCAATCTTGGAAGCCCAGACAGTGTGTAAGTAAATTTTCTCAAACAAAGTTTCAATTACCAAATTCTTTATGGAAGACCATCTCTAAAATACAGAATAATAAACTGTAATAAATAATTACAGTATCTGGGTAAATTGGGCCAAGCATCTTACACCTTTTAGAAAACAAGGATCAAGAATGGTACATATTAATGAATAATCAGTATGTGCTGTGGATCAAATGGGAAATTTTAGCATTGATTATAAGAACTGAAGATCAAAAGATTAGCCTATATTTCAGGGGATTGAACTAATAGTAGCAGAGTTTCATCTGGAGCTTAACACATGTCAATTTAAAGGTGGCATGATTGACAAGAAGAGCAGCTAGGTGGAACAGATTCTCCATTATAGGTGCTGAAGTAGTATTGCTTTCTCTCATTTCTTATGTAACTATGTTAATATAATACCTTTACCAAACTTACTAAGGATCTGGATCAAAGCAGTTATCTTATCTGCAAGTTTTTTTTCTGTGGTAATTTTGTTAGTATTAAAATTCTATTTTATTTACACAAGCAACCACCATAGTTAATTTATTGAGGGGAGGGCTATGTGTATGGGGGATAATACAATGAATGTCTGCTAAGAGAAGGCTATTCCAGGGTTTGTCACAGGCAGGTAAAACTAGTGAGTGACAGCATGGTTATTAGTCCTGCATAGGACTGAAGCTGCAGTCACTGATCTGAAGATGTGCTACTGAGAGACCTAAGACCGTAACGTGGACACAAGGAGCAAAATGACAGGATGGTAACTGGTAGCATCACTGTATCCCTTCAGATCAGTTCTATTACAGTATTGTAACAAGGTCACAATAGGTGGATTCAGATTTTATGTTTGCCTGTGTCAGATACCAATATGCCTTTTGAGACAACAAGTAACACATTAAGTATTTCCTGTTTACAATGAAATATTGGCAAACACACATGATGCAGCGATATCTAAGAGCAGCTGTTTTACATCTGCCATATCTGAAGGCTGTGTCATTAGAGGACAGGGCTAGAGGCGATGTGCTCCAGATTGCTTAACGAGGAGAAACACTTAAAACACTGAAAAGTTAGATGCTTTTATACAGTGACATGAAATAGTTCATTTTTGGTGGTTTGGTTCCTTCTGTTTATAGTAATCTGCACAATTTATTTTATATTGACTGGATTGTATAACATTTTGTTACTCAAAAAAGCCAAACAAACAATGATTTCAGGTCTGCCTGTCCTGAGCATTTTCTTGTAAATGAGCTCTGCATCTCAAGAGCATTCTGGGTGAAATATTTTAAACAAACATAATTAACATACAAATAAACCAACTGTAGAATACTGATAATCACATTAAGTGGTACTCTGGGAATATGGCTACAGTGTGCACCAGAATTTTGTATAATTACTGTGGCAGAACGATTGCAAGTTAATAGTCAATTTTCTGGCTGAGAGAAATATAAAATTAAAATTTAATTCATGCAGCTCAAAAGGTTGCAGCCTTGTCATCCTTATAGTTGCATTAACATCACTTTACATGGTACATGAAATGAGGAACAATGGTTCAAAATTGTTAGTTACATGATCAAAAGAAATATACAAGCTGAACAAACATTTAATTTATGTTTATTCTTAGTCCATCTCTTTATTAATAACCTATAAGACTGAATAACCAGCACATTCATGAAATCTGTAGATGATACAAAATTGGCAAGTGTTGGCAACACCAACGATGACAGAGAAATAATGCAAGAGGACCTGGAAAGATTGGAAACACTAGTAGAAAAGAAAAATGAAAATCTTTTGGAAGAATACTAGCTCATATATTTGGGGGGGAAATCCCCAAAACATATTTAATGGGAGGCAGGATCCTAGAAATTAGCAATACTGAAAGAACAGGAGGTTAATAGAGAAATTGCTGTCCATTACTAACCTCCAGTTCTTTCAGTATTGCTAATTTCTGGGTTAGAGAGTTTACACTGTGATATGGCAGCAAAAAGGTCAATGTGATTTTTGACGGTACACACAGAGGAATCAGATCACAACGTGTGGAATTAATAGGTCCTGCGTATACAACTCTGGTGTGATTAACTATGTTGCATCCAAAAGTGTGTTAGGTACTTTACAAACACAAAAAAGCACATACCTCAAAGAGCTTGTATTAGAATCTCAAGGCCCAAAGTAGTAAAAACACCAACAATGAAGTCCTGGCCTCATTGAAATCCATAGCAAAACTTCTACTGACTTCAAGATGGCCAAGATATCACCCCAAATGTACTGAAGAACCCAGCTACTGACCTTGCCCTCATTTGTATTACAGAGACCACTTTCTGAAATAAACATTACAATTATAACATTTATACTATACAATTTTAAATAAAATATCCCTTTCCTTTTATTCATGTTATGTAACAGCTCTTTGTCTAGTCAGTTTCACTGTTTCTTCTTTATAGTCAATTTCCCCTATAGGAGCCAACACAGCAACAGGAAAATGTCATTGTATATCCACGAAAAATGACTAGAGGATTCAGGCCAGTAAATAAAATGAAATTACTTTTAACTAATAAAAAAAAAATACAAAACACATTATTTTCAGTTTAAGAAATCCTGCTTAAAACAAAATATTTAGCTCAAACGCTATCTAATTTTAATTGAATTTAAAATAATTTTAAAATTACCCATCTACAGAGAATTCCCAACAGACTGCACTTTGAGGACAGGAGCCTCTTAAAATTGAAAACGTTACAGCTTCACAATAGAGGATTAAAAACTGAGGAGGTCAAACACTGTTCTGCAAACCCTTTTAGGTGCTCCAGCTGATTTCACACTTTACCAAGAGGGCTGAGACCAACAGGAGGGGGAAAAAATGAGATAGTGGGGAAGGAATTTTTGATATAGACATAAAAATCCAAAATAATTATCAAAGGAAACAAACTACAGATATTAGACATATTTTGTCCTTTTGAATATTGCATGCAGGGCCGGCTCCAGGCACCAGCTTCTCAAGCAGGTGCTTGGGGCAGCCGCTCCGGAGAGGGGCGGCACGACCAGGTATTCGGCGGCAATTCAGCGGACGGTCCCTCACTCCACCTGGGAGCGAAGGACCTCCCGCCGAATTGCCGCTGCAGATCACGATCGCGGCTTTTGTTTTGTTTTGGCTGCTTAGGGCGGCCAAAACCCTGGAGCCGGCCCTGATTGCATGTGGGCGGTAAAAGGATTATTCTCTATTTTTAGAAGGCAATTTTTTCTTCTTCAAACTATTTATCACTTTGGTATATATGCTACAACAGAACATGCCTTCCATGTTTTCCCATTATGATACAAATCTCAGATGCATTGGAATGGCCATTAACACAACACTTAAGGAAGATAATTCAGTGCGTTTAGATTGTTGAGTGTCTGAGAACATGATCTGCTACGGACAAAGCAAAAATCAATTAAATCAAATGAGTTCACAATGTGCAGCTGTAGGCAAGCAATACTTTAGTAACTATATTAGCACTATTCGGTATATTAGGTTGTTTCAGTTCTGATGTGAAATATGTGTCTAAGGGAAGAAGAGGTAAATTTAATTTACTGTGAATGAAGTTAACCAGAGCCATATTTTTCACATGAAAAATGAACTATGTCTTGTGATGATTGTAAACATTTCACTTTTTTACATCATATTATTAATAAAAGGGTGTGACAGATTGAATGTTACATTCACCTTCCTTATCCAGAAGCATTAATCTCACATTCTAAACATAAGTGATAGAATAATGTTGCATTCTTTTCACAATCCTTAATTTAATTATAACATTGCAAATTAGGCAATTTTTATGGCCTTACAGGCCTTAATCACACTGTAAACACGAAAACTGACTGAAGTTATGACAAACAGTTGTTTTAAACAGGAGCTCTCATGCTGATGCAAGCCTGAAAAAAAGTACATTTCTACACAAAGGGAATTGACTTAGCTGGTATTTTTCTGTATTCTCTGATCTTTCCTCAAACACGACTGTCCCCTCTAAGCCCATAAGAAAAACATGGGATTTGAAAAGCAAACAGCTTCTTTTGGTTTGAGCCTTTGGGACTAAGACCCACCAAAGAAACAGTTTAATATCTGATACATCTTCATTGGTGGAGGACCATACCCTGTTTTTATCTACCCTATGTCCTATTGGCCTTACCCGCTTTAATTACTCTGATCCTACATTTAAAAGTGTGCCCAAGTATGAACGTCCCACGGAATTTTGTAATCATTAACATTTTCTATTTCACTACAGTTAACTTTTAAGATTCATCTTTTAGTTAAAAACAAAATTTAGCATGCATGTTACAGGATGTAGTGCTTAAATAGATTTCTATTTTGTGCCAGAACTACCCATGGATAAGGTTCTAAAAGAGAATCCTGTCAATTTCGGAATAGGAGGATTGAAATAGAAAGCAGCATTTTAAAAATAGTAAAGAAAATTCACTCACATTGACCAAGCCAAAATAATGTTCATTCACAGGAAACTGTTCAGGACCAATCTCTTTCTCCAAAGCAGAGGCATTGGCGCCCTGGGGAAAACAAAAAAAATACCCACATATGACTACTAGGAAAAAACTCACTCTCCCTCTCAAAAATCTAATATTCATGCCATTTATGTCAAACAAAGAGAGTGAGAATGGAACTGTTAATTAAAACATTTTATATTATACATAAGGGGAAGTGAATGTAGATGTGAAGCAATACTTTAAAATAATGCCCATCAGCCTGTAGCTTAGATTTCAGGGTTCAATGAATACAATTGTTTAAAATCTCTTTCCTTGATTCTTAAGAAGTTGTGGGATAAGACAGCCGGACCAGACCTACCTGTTAATGTAATAAGTCCCCTTTCATCAAAAATTAATTCAACATTAGACTATTTGTGCATTTCAGATTTTAAAGAAGGATGGTAAAGCAAGTTAATACCTTGATGAAAGACAGATATTGAACTTTGCTGTACAATCTTTTAGTGAGTCTAAAATTAAATTGCAACAATGTACAGTTTTACAGAGAATGTATTGGACTCCTGCATACTAATTCAAATGTTATCTACAAGGCAGTGATGTGTGCTTGCAAGGCTGGAATCAGCATGGTAACATGACACATTTTTGTTCAACTGTTTGATTCTACATTATTTCTAGAACCTAACTGAAAACTAGAACACAACCTTAACAATGCTGGTGCAACTAACTCTAGCATAGTAAGCTTCCAGCAGAGGTGCTGGGTAGCATGGCAGTGAACAACAGAAACAGTTTATTAATGCTGGACAATGGAAAAGCAACATCTTTTTTGATTTATGTAATTCTTGTAGCATTAATTTTAAAAAAATTAAAAAAACAATTTAAGTGTAAACCAGAAATGTAGCTCATTTTCAATATTTCCAAAGATATTACAAATAGAAAAAAAGTATGTGAAAATTGTTAAGTACTGGTCTTTTTTTAAAATCAAACAGTTGCAGCTGCCATATTTTCACAACAAATTTTAAATTATTCTGAAAAAATGATTTTATAACATTTGAGTTTCAAGAGCGTAAAAATGTAATTTATCCCTCCCTCTTCTCCCCCCTCTCCCTCCCGATCCCTCAATGTACCTGCATGGACCTGCTTATAGGAATAGGACCTAAAACATTATTTGCAGTTAGCTGTACAAATCCTAAAAGAGCAACATAGTATGGACACTTCATTTAAATTCATTTCATATTATCAAGATATCATGCTTTCATCTTAAAAACTCCACTTTATAATATCCCATTATGGGTTTATATTTAAAAGAAGATACTGCCTTATCTTGAAGTGAACATCAAAACTACAAACTACTGATCAAACTGAAGGATTTTTGCACTTGAATCTATACAAAAATCTGCTAGAGAAAAAGAGTGTTTTTCCATATTCACTAAGGAGATCTCAGAATAGTCAGTCATCCAGGAAGGTCATTTAAATTTAGTGGAGCATGTGCTGTAAAAATAAACAAGGAACTCAAAATAAATTCGCTGTGTAGATGGATTAAAGGAAACAGACTGAAGGGTAGGAAGAATGATAGGCAAGATGGGTGCCATGAGAAAAAATAGATCTTTAAGTGGAGGAGTGTGCTACAGGAAAGGAACAATGTGTCTCCCTGAATCATCCACTGAGGAAGTCAAACTACACCAGAAAGTGGATTACCAGAAGATACTACCTATGAAAATGTAGGTGAAGACTGCTGAACAATCTAGAACTGTGCCTGTCAGTTGCCAGATTCCAATTTCAAGTCTTCTGTTAGCATCCTATTTATAGCTCAAACAGCATTTTAAGGCATCTGAATCACTAATGACAAGTGCTTTTCCATAGCTATTTTTTTAATCTAAAGATGCTTAGACATGCTTTGAGTCCTTTTAATAATCTCATAAAATCTTTACAATGCTGTTCCAGCTTTTTTAAATAAATGTAACTGAAAGTGAAAATTAAAATATTAAGTAAAAAACTATATTAATGAAATCTGACATTTGCATAGTTGAAAATCATAAAAAATTAGCCAATGCAAAAGGTGATGTTCCAGCAGAAATATTCATTTCGCTATTTTGCACATCCTTTAAGTTTTTGATATGTGATGAACAGTAACAAACAAAAAAGTGGCCTGCAGATGAGAAAAAAATTAGGATTGTACCTCTTTTGCATCTTTATGATGTATAAAAGAACACAAAGGATTCTCACCCCAGCTTCCAAGGTTTTAGCTTCTGCTCATATTTTACATTAGAAATTCAATCTTTTCTGCTCTGTTGTTCCTGGAAAGCATTATTGAGAACAGGTAGGATTAAGACATTAGAGATCCTACTGCTCTGGTGAACAGTCTTTACACTTGGGTATATCTACGCTGCAGGGACTATACAAGCATATCTACACTACGGGAAATATACCGGTATAGCTACGCCACTGTAGCTATGCCAGCATAATCTGGTAGCATAGATGCCGCTTATACTGATGTAAGGAGTTTTTCTGTCAAGGTAGAACACCACCTCCCCAAGCAATGGTAGGTAAATTGACAGAAGCAATCTTCCATCAACCTATTTGTACCTATACTGGGAGTTAGGTCAGCACAGCTGCATTGCTCATGGGTGTGGATTTTTCACAGCCCTGGCCGACAAAGCTATGTCAACCAAAATTTCAAGTATAGACCAGGCCTAAATCACTGAAACCTTGAAGAAGAATTGAACAAAACAAAAAGTTTAAGTATATTATTGCTCAGCCTTGCAAAGTGCTATTCACCCATTTCCCCACAGTTAGTAATGTTTTTAATGAACAAGTAAATACTATAAGCATTTTTATTATCAATCACTAGGACAAATGATGGGCAAGTAACTTGGGCTGTTACATTTTCATGGTAACTTTGTAAAGCTGATATGACTAGTTATAAAAAGTAGAAAACTTACTATTAAAAAAAATCTAGTTTAACTAGAGGTATGGAAACTCTGCAGTCAGATTTCTTATTTCAGATCTATAGGGAATGACCTAGATTGAAGAAATAGAAAGGAATCACAAAACATAAGAAGCAACATGATTTGTGATAAAAATTGGTTAATACACGGTTAAGAAACTTAGATTTTGACAGATTTACAAATGATCCTCTTCATACACATATGTGATAGATCTCTAAGGTCTTTACTGCAGGACGGTGATCCTGTTACTGAGAAACACACAGAGAAAATTAACTAGGTTACTGCTGAGGTGTCACAGCCCCAAATTTAATTCCAAAAACTCATTGGTAACAGTCTTAGGTAAAACCGTGCCTACAGAACACCAAAATGTTTACACTCAAATCTTCAAAATGTTAGGGTGCAGAGCTACAACAGCCAGAGAAAGAAAGCGGAAGACTGTACAATAACCTGGGTCATTATGTTATTAAAATATGATGCTTCTGAAAAGTTGAAATGAAACTCTCCGTCCCTTTAATGCTCGGATTTCAGAGTAGAGATCATGTTGCTACTACTTCTAATAGTTTGCAAATTAATTCTACTGTTAGATGACAAACTGGACTGCTTAAAAGTAGCCAAATTGCTACTGCGCTCATTGTTTGTGGCATAACTGACCTCAACTAGCATTACATTTGCTACACATTTTTCAAAGAAATGCTCTTTAACATTATCAGATAAATTGAAACGCTACAAGTTTCAAACATCATGCAATTATGCTAATCAGATTTTAAAATGTAATCTGATGGAGCAAGCACATAGTCATGTTTACAATGGCAAACTGGGGAAGGGGAAGAGAAGAGATCTCCTCTGCCCTCTTCCCCTTCTCCCCCCCAATCAAAAAACCTAGGTTGTGCAAAAGTTTAGAACTGTACTTTGAAAGAATAAGTAAAGAGACAAGACTTCTGTTTTATTTTTAACTAGAGAGCTGCCTCAGGACAGACAAATACGATCTGTTCATGAAGAACAGTACCCGGTTTCCAAATGTAAATGCCGGAAACAGGAAGCTCTTTACAATTCAAAATCAAACTAAAGGGTTAAAAGTGCAAAAAATTATTACAAACTCTTACCATAAATTGTCATTTGAGAAGTCATAACTGTTTGTGCTTGCAGTAAATCTACATAGTGGAAAGTGTTATATATTCCATATATAGACAGCAATACAATATTCTACGGTGATAAATACAGGGTGAGAATTTACACTTGACCTGATGGCAAGCTGTTTGCGGGAAACCAACAATGACTGTGTCACCTATAATGCAGAAATGCAAGATTTTGGTTTACTTAACATACATGATTAAAGCTGTGTATGGGGGTTTAGGTTTTAAACTACAGATTATAAACAAGCAGAGATTTACTGATTGTTTGCAAACTAGTTTGCTTCCCAGGCTACTGATACAATTCTGATTAAGAATGACTCAATCACCTTAGTACTCAAAAGCTTACAGTTAAGCCTAGTTAAATCAGATTCAGAATCTCAACACTGGTAATTCACATGTATCATGTTACCTTTTAGAATAACATTTAATGGAACCAAATACTTTTATTTAAATCTGGTTCTCCTTGCTTTTTGCATAGGAACTCTGTCTCCCACCTCTGTTCCTCTCTCACTTCCCAGCATGCTTGTATTTCAAAATAACTCCTTTATAGTATAAAGAAAGCAGTTAGGTGGACAAGATTGGAACTGATTTATTATCCCCCAGCCCCAGGGACAAATAATTCCTTCCAAAAAGTACATCCATGAGCCTTGGAGTATGTCCATGGAAACTTGTAATATAAATACCTTATTCTTAAGAAACTGTGCTGATATACAGTACTTCCTCTCTGAACCAGTGTAACTTTCTATACGTAGCTATTTGTGCAGAAACTAAACATCAATTATAAATTCACCCAGTCAGCATAAATCTTCCAGCTGAAAGGCTGCCTGATTCTAAGAATATATCCTCATGGTTTTGACTAAAGTGGTGATACTATTTACACCACTTGACAATCAGAAACAATGCACACTCACTTGTGCCCAGCAATTTCTACCATATTGCAAATCCTATGGAGCTGCAAGGAATGGTGACAATCTGTCCTGATTGAGAT